ACACACACGTGTATATGACATATTTAGCGACATTCTTTTACTATCTAAGCCCCTTTATCTGTAACCCTATCTCTGATGAGAACGGAAACATTCTGTCTTTATTTCCGTTAACTGTGTCTGTTTGCCTCCTTATGTAATTATTATTTCTCTTTTTCTAATTGTTGCTGCAGAATCCTTTCCCCCTTTTAATAAAAACTTAATTATTCGTTAAATGTACATGTTCAGTATGATAGATGATGATTTAACTATTTCTTTAAAAATAAATAAATAAAAACAAACAATTATTCAACACAAAACAATACATTGTGTTTTGGTATACATTTTGGCATTGATGGAAGAACAATATCATGGTCCCTTTAGTATTTGGAAACGTGTCGTTATTCCATATCTCCTTGGTCCTTGGAAGAAGCAAGAGAACACAATGAACTCACATAGATTTCAGTGTCTTATTACTGTTTGGCCTGTTCTGTTGTTGCCTGATCGCGACATTTGAAGAACTCTCAAGAACTCTTTTTAAAAAGTACCATACGACAAGAGACAAGTTATTTCAGTTTTATGGATATAATATTTTCAATTCAGTTAGTATGGTAGGCCTATGAAAATAGTTTCTGCCTTGTCTAGTCGTTTATTCTACTTCCCACCCTTCTTATAGTATCTATAATAAACGAAACTGTCGAATGAAAAATGAAAAAAAGGAAGGAACCAACAGCGAAAAAATAAAAATAAATAAAACAGCATTGCTTGTAGTCTTACAGTAAATCGTCGAGAACTACTTTGCAACATCCTTCAGTGTATGACGTACTCAGCATTGCTTTTCTACCTCTTTGGAATCCCCATGTAGGGTACACATTATTCGTATTTCTGGGTTGACCAAAGAATAGCGGCGTCTTTGCTATGTCTCGAGTCGTCTACACAGCCGTAAGTTCGTCATGTTCGTCTACGGGCCGGGTAACAACGACAATGTCCTTTTGGCCAAGAACCTGTGGACGAACACGACATTTTGAATAATATATAATGGTTACATCTCCATCGATCCAGATTGGTCATTTACTTATAGGAAGTTGGAAGTTTCAATCCTGCCTATAAAGACAAACTCGGGCTTTGAAGGGTACAACACAACTTAAAGACATGTTTTATAGGTCGACCCCTCCCCCCAAGAAAAAAACAACAAAACCCCAGCATACAAATAAACAAATACATTAAAATAAAAAAGTGGGTCAAACTCACACACTTTGTGTGCAAGGCAATGAGCCTTACTATTTTACTGTAAAAGGCTCCTTATAGCGGAAACCTTCCATAATTGGTCGTATCCAGAAAAATGCTATTTTGAGAAAATCGAAGGTAAAGTTTTTACCACTTGTTCAGTTGTTGTTTTTTTAAGTCAAGGAGAGCTTTCTCTGTAGCCAAACAATATTATTATACATTCCACTGAAACCAAACGTCTCCTATAGGTAGGGCAAAGTCCACTTTTGGTGTAGGTCAAGATTTTTGGAAACTCCCGAAATCTGGGTTAGCCCACTTTTCCAAGCGACCAATTAAACTCTTAAGTGGCCAATTTCTTATAAAGGTAAATTATTGAAAGTGAAAGAGAACAAAAAATGTTCTTTTCCTTTCCTCGTAAGTTGAAGCTCAAGAATTCGCAAATCATGCAACAGATTGTGTTACGTTGACACATCAATAAAAATTAACGATTCCTTTGAAGAAGTGTTTTATCAGTGAATTTCCGACCGTGACCTTACCTTCACGTGAAACATGCCATCTCTTTGTTTGCTTTGCTCTTCCTTAGCCACGCGTGCAACCCTGCAACTGAGCACAATGGCTGCCATGCAGACGAGAATCTCCGTTCCTGCTGCGGCCAGGGAAATGTAGATGAGTACGTCCTGAGGTGGAAATAACAACAACAATAAAAGATGTTTTTAATTTTAATCAAACACTTAACACGAGCATGCAATGGCATGAATTAAATAAAAGGAGATGCATGTATAGGAAATCTTTTTGCTATGAAAACTGTATCATAAAATTATAATGATTATACATTTTGGTATTGTAAAAATCTCTATGTTCTTTTTACGTTGCACCAAAAAGCGAATCATTGTTTTTAAGACGAATAAGATCTCTGACTTTTCCACCCATAATTTGCTTCAAGACAAAAAGCTGTAATGGGTTTTTTCCGTATTCTTTAGTGAACTAGACTATTGTGAAATAAAGTCATCATATGTGCTTTCGCGTGTCACCTTTCTTCATTTCTTAAAGAAAAATACTTAATGTATAAAATCGTCCTTGTAAAGCAAACGATAGTGGAACAGTATGGTGTGTTTGATAGGTTTTATACTTTTTTGTTTTGTTTCGTTTTTTTTAAAAATCTCTTGACGTGAGAATCCTTCGTGCTGGATGACCATAATTGTGTTTGTGCTCTTTTTTGTTTGTTTTAATTGTCTTGAAAAAGCACAGACAACAATGAAAGGATACCCCCTCCCCCTTTCTCCCCAGATGCCCTTCCGCCCCTGATTCTTTTCCTCCAAGAACCCAGCGAAAAAAAACCCACCTAAACCAAACCCGCCCTCTTGGTCAGAAATCCCCCACGCATAACTTTGCATGTCATTTGCATACTCCATCCTATTGTCTATTTCACGATAGGTTGTTTTTTGGTTGGTTTTTGTAGGGGTTGTTTTTTGTTTTTTGTTTGTTTTTTGTTTGCTTTTGGGTTATTGTTTTGTTTTGTTTTTATTTTCTCGTTTGGGTGTGTGTATGTGTTTGTGCGTGCGTGTGTGTGTGCGTGTGTATGTGTGTGTGTGTGTGTGTGTGTGTGTGTG